GGGAAGTATGAAGATTAACTCTACAATGACTTGGTTGCTCTCCCCATGGTGGCTGCAGTGGCCTGTACCCATGGGGGAGCATTTGGTTTGGGGAACCCCACCTTGGGGGACAGGTTTTTAACCATTTGCTCGGTGTAGCAGGTCTGCAGTGCAGAAGGAGTTAATCTGAGGACTGATTTGAAATATCTTTATTCAAGCAGGGCTATGTATCTCCTGCAAAGCTGCATTACATTCTGTACTGTGTACAATAAAGGATCTTGCTTCCTGTTCCTCCCTGACTGCCTGGGCTCCTGCTTTGCCTGTGTCTGGGATGCTGCCTGGGCTGGAGGAGCCCCTGGATGTGCTTGTGGTGTCTGTAGTGGTCCAGGATACAGCCCAGCACTTGGGGCCTGCAGTATGGTGTGTCTGGAGCTGGGACCAAGGCACCAGGGCTCCTCTCTCCCCAGCCCCCCTGCTCTCTCCCCAGTTCTGGGTTTGTTGTTCCTGGGTGTGGATGGTGCCATGGCTTTCACAGCCACATCCTATGAGAGGATCTGTTTGGAATGGGGGTGGCTTCTGCCCAGTCAGTGCAATTTAATATTTCCTCTTGCCAGGGTTTCTCAGTGAGTCCTCCACTCCCCTGGAAACCCGAGTACCTGTCATCAAGTAGGGCTAAAGCTGGTGGGGACCTCTCAGGACAGCCCCTCCACAAGCCACTGGCAGTGATCCCCCATTGTCCCCATTGCTAGGCAGGGTTTGCAGAAATATGGAGGTGAGTGGAGGGCAAGGGCTGTTCTGTGAGGACTTTATTCAGCTGGAGGGTCTGTGTTTTGCCTGACAGGCGGGAAAAGAACTCAAACACCCCAGAACTCCCAGTGCCATTGGCCTCAATTCCAGCTGGGCTGAGCCAGGGTCTCCATGGACATCCTGTGCAGGGGGCTGGTGTGATGCTGCTGGAGCTGCCCTGACACGTTTCCTCTTCCATCTTATTCTCAGAGCTCAGCCAAACCCCATCCCTGGATGTGGCAGTACAGAGATGAAAGGTGCTTGTGTGCCATGATGGTTTTTACACCCCCACCCAGCTCCCCTGCATCCCCTGCTGGCTGCCAGCCACCTTTCTAATGGCTCCTTAAGCTGCTCTTCCATCATGCCTGAAGTATTAGGCTGCATGGGGAAGTGTGGCTGTCTCCCAGCCCAGGCAAGGCAAAACAGGCTCTAAAACATCCAGCAAAACCAATTCCTCTGGCATGGAGCCTTCAAGGAGTTAAATCAGCTGTTTAGCCTCAGGAGACATCTTACACTCCCAACCCATCCTGTCTTTATTTTGCACAAAGTTCTGTCCTCTGCCCAAGAGTGCAAACCCAGGTGATCTGAGCTCCAGACAGTGTCTGGTAATCCCATCCCAGCGGGGATTTCAGCAGGCTGAGTGCCGGGGCTCAGGATGGGGCTGGGGGAACCGGGGGCACCGGCAGCGCGGCCGGCGGGCAGATGGCCCAGGGGGCAGAGATGGGACCAATTATGGAGGGTGAGGATGAGGATGAGCAGATAAAGCAAAGCCTTCCAAAGCCTTCATCAGGCATCTTGGCACACCACAACCCTGACCCTGGCCCTGCAAATCTTGCTGTGGGCAGGGCTGGGCCCCAAGGGTGTCTCTCCTCCCAACCCCAGGGAGGATGAAGAGGAGCAAGCAGAGAGGATGGTGAACAATGAAGAACCATTTTGGAGAGGACTCATCTATCCAGGCTGGGCAAAACCTTGGTGTTGGTGCCCAATCCTCCAGCTCACAGCTGCCACCTCTGTGTGGTCGTTGTGGTAAAGAGCCCATCAGCAATCTGTGACACTGGGTAAGCAAACAATAAAATGACAGCTGGTATTGAATGGTTAAACAAAACAAAAAAAAAGGAAAAAACAAAAAATGGAAACCAAACAAAAAATGTGGTTTTTCCTATTTTCTTCTTTTCATGGTCTCTCTACTGTGCCCCAAGTTCCCCCCTCCCTGCAATGAGAGTTTGGAGTTAGCAGATGGTCCAAGAAGCACAGGTTAAAAATCATTTGGAAAAGAGGAGCCTGTAAAAGGGAGAGGATCATTACAAACCTTTACACATCCATAATTCATGGAGCACATTTCTGCTCTCCCTGTCTTGGAAGCATATAGCAGGACTGGAAAATGTTCAAAAAGCAACAGAGACAGCCAAGGGTCTGCTCTGGCTCTTCCATGGGAGTGTATAAATAGTCTGGCACTTCCGACTGGGGCAGGATTTGTGGCTCAGGGGCTTCATATTTAATAGCCCATGACAGAGTTTTCCATTGCTGCCTGCAAGAGCATTTTGGGGAAGAATTACTGCCCACGCAGCTCGTTCTCCTGGCAGGGCTGACAGGGCCAGAATTGAGGCTGGAGCTGCTGCAGGGCCCACCAGGGGCAGGGAGGCACAGCTGCCCCCTGGCCCACGTCCCTGTGCCCATGGTGGTGGCCTCTCATCCTATGCTGGGCAGCTGGCTCTGCCAGGGAGAGAGGTCACATCACAGCAGCTCCTCTGCTGCCCAGCTCCTCAAACACTCCATGTTTTCAATAAGTGGGTGATTTGGCTCTTAAACACCTGGAGCAACACCAGTGGCTCCATGTGTGGTGCCAACTTCAATATGAGTCAACCCCAGAGGGAAAAAAAACCAAAAACAACCACACCAAAACAAAACAAAGCAAAACAACAACCAAAAAGATCAGGCAAGCAAGATCTGGGCTGGTGAGTGAGGGAAAGTGAGGAACTTCCACCTGGGGGTGTGCAGGACACCCAGCTCCCTTCATGCTGGTCTGGCACCACCTCGTGGGTGTCCAGCTGCTGCTCCTGGCCACCACGGGGTTTGGTGGCAGCACATCTGCAGAGGTTTTGGTGTCCAGATGTGGTTCAAACTCTGTGGCAGGCAGGGCTTCAGCCACAGCTTATTTCCCAGGGGTCCTCTCTGCTTCGTGCTGGATTTCCTGGGAGATGTGGGTCTGTGTTGGTGACTCCAAGCCTCTCACTCCTGGCAGGCTGCAGGAACAGGGAGACCACTGAGCCCACCTCTGTCACAGATATCTTTTATGAAAAATCCTTTCCTTAGGATCTTTCCTCCTGAGAAGCTGAGAGGCTTCGGGAACAAAATGTAAACAATGGTTATCTGCTGCTGTGGAATGTAAGAGGTAGAACTTTGATTAGCCCATCTTAGATGTTTGTAATTAATGGCCAATCACAATCAGCTGGCTTGGACAGAGAGCCGAGCCACAAACCTTTGTTATCAGTCTTTCTTTTTCTATTCTTAGCCAGCCTTCTGATTAAATCCTTTCTTTTATTCTTTTAGTATAGTTTTAATGTAATATATATAAAAAATAATAAATGAAGCCTTCTGAAACATGGAGTCAGATGCTCATCTCTTCCCTCAATCCAAGAACCCCTGTGAACACGGTCACACAGCTCCTCCTGAGCTCCACTGAACAGGGAGCTGGGGCTCCACCAACACCCCAGAGCCCTCCAACACCGAGCTCCCAGCCTCTCACAAGGCACTAACACTGCAATAAGCCTTTAAGTAGCTCCTGAAACCATGAGCCAATTGCTGAATTAAAGGCTCTCAGAGCTGCAGGGGAGGCTCCTATTATCATCCTCTTATCATTAACTGTGGCAGTAACTGTCTGTTATTCCTGTGTTCTGTAGGTGCCCATGGACTACTCCCAGCCATGGGGCACCTACACAGGATTTTGTGTCTGGAGAGCCTGAGGAACCTGCAATCCTGAGGCAGGCATCCCACCTAGAGGAAGGTGTCCCTGCCCATGGCAGGAGGGTGGAACTAGGTGGACTTTGAGGTCTCTTCCAGCCCAAATCATTACAGCTTTCTATGATTTCTTGGCCACTTTTTAAGAGGCAATCAGCAGGACCCCCGAGGCTCAGATTTTGGAAGGAGGGTGCCCCCACTTGGCTGCAGAAGCAGGAGATCCCCCTGCATTGAAGGGCTGGGTGCTCACCTGGCTGGTGCCTCCCTCTGGCCAAGAGAGGGTCCTGGGCAGGGTCAGCCTGGCTAAGACAGAGCAAAAGGTGCAAGATGAGGTTTAATTACAGCTGGGAGTGGAGCCAAGGTGAGGGGCAGAGCTGGGACCTTGTCTGCAGCACAAGGAATCAGCCATTCCTCTTATTTAGAAGGTTTTTAGTTTAATATAAATAAAACCATCCCGGACAGAACAGGCAGCAGATGAGCTGAGAAACCCTGAGCTCCCACAGCACTGGGTCAGCGCAGCTGCACCCCTGCACTCCCAGCTGATCATCCATGGTCCTGCCATAAATTCTGCTGGGATTCCTGGAGGGATCTGGTAACAAATCAAATGGCACAGCCAGGCCAGCCCTGTGCCAGCCCTGTGCCAGCCCTGTGCCATCCCTGGGCCTGGCACCCTCCAGTGCTGCTCCCTGAAAGGATGAAAGAGCATCTGCCAAGGGTGACATGAACCCAGGCTTGCAGAGATCTCTTTAAAAAAAAAATAATCTCTTGGTTTCTTGGCCACCTTGGACCCAGGAGAGGGCAGCAGCAGCCCAGGCTGCAGCCTCAGCTACCCTTTCCAAAGCTCCTTTTCATGCTCAGAGACAGCAGAGAAAGAAAAGCAGTGGATGGAGGGAGCAGTGAAGAGCAGAAAGCCGGTGGGTGGGCTAGTGGTGCTCTTCTGGCCTTCAAAATTTTTTGCTTTCAAGATGGAAGTGGAAAGAAAACAATCTTTCTTTGAAAACAAATCAGAGTGCCAGGGCTTTCCATGGCAGTCTCTCATTCTTTTGGTGTCAGTGATCCCTGTGGATGCTTGTGGTGATACTGGGGATGTTCCCAATGGAGGTGGGAGGGAAATATGTGCAGTGTGTGCCCATTGTGCTGCTGCAGAGATGCTGAAAGCCCATGAGATCCCCACTGTGGAGCTCTTATGGCTTCACTCAGAGCCCTCCAGGGGGATAAAACGAGATTACCAGTGCTACACAGGCACGCTGGCTGCCTTGGCCTCGCTGATTTTGTTGTGCTTGAAGGAGCAGGGAAGGGAAGGCTGGAAATAGGGACATTTTCCACTCCTCCACCTTGGCACCCCACACAAGGGCTCCCCCGCAGCTCGGTGCACTGCTGAGTACTGTGAAACTCAGGCTCCCACTCCCAAGGCAGCATCAGAGGTGTGGGTCAGCATCTCCAGGGGCAGCTGTGGCATTTCCACCCATTTCCATCCTGTTTCCCAGGATGAGCTCAGTGGGTGACTCACAGAGCAGGTGAGGGGGAGGAGACACCCTCAGCCCCAA